TTTTTTTTTTTTTTTTGGTTTGTTCTTTGGGAGGGGAGGGTTTGTAATTGTTCCGGCCACGCTATCTAGGATATCCCCAGCCGTGTGGTTCGTCACTGCGTGAAGCGGTATTGTGCCTGCGGTGGGCGGAGAACAACGACTGAAACAATGACCACTGAAATCACGGTTTTGACATTCAACCTGTGGGGAATTTTCAATTCCAAGCACCGTGCGGCCCGCATGGCGCACTTCGCCAGCAAAGTCGAGAGGTACGACGTGATCTTGCTGCAGGAGCTGTTCTCTGAGACGGACTTTGAGCTCATTCTCCGAAGTCTTCCTCCTCGTGTGCGGGCGTCACGCTTCTTCCGCCGCTTCCCGAGCGCCTACTACGGCTCTGGCATCGCCGTCATTTCACGCTTCCCTATCAAGTCCGTGCTCTTCCACGCATTCCCGCTGCAGGGATACCCAGAGCGGGTACTGCACGGCGATTACTACGCCAATAAGGGAGCAGCACTCGTGCGCATCAGTGTTCCGTGCATGGAACCCACAGAAGCAGACGGAGGGCAGAGCGGTGAGACCGGTGTGGTGTGTAAAGATGTGCTGCTCTACTCTACACACCTCGTCGCGGCGTATGAGAAGACCGCGCGCCTCCTTAACTGGCGTGATGAGTTGTATCTCTCCGTTCGCCTCAGCCAGGCATTGTCGTTTGCTGACTTTATTACGTCCACATCATGCCCCACCGATCACGTTGTTATTGGTGGCGATTTCAACGCGACGCAGCGGTCGCTGGAGGTGCAGACGATGCTTATTCTATTACAGAAACGCGGCTACAAGCTCCGCTCCGTCCTGCCGTCGTCGAACATCTATCAGGCCTGCGACGACGAGCGGAAGCGAGCGGCAAACGCAGCCACGCTGACCTTTTCTGATGCGAACATATTCACCAGCCCGAAGGCGGGTTGGCTTGTGGAGGGCGGCGACGTGCCTTGCCAGATTGACCACATCTTTTTCTCATCCAACACACTTCGCTTGTGTGCGTACGACGACTGCCCCGACGCGGCTCAGGACTATCCTTTCGTTATGGAGAATGACGGTGTGGAATCGCCCGCTGGCGTCGTTGTTTTCACACGCAACGACGAGGTGTCGCTTCCGCCAGGGAGGAGTACCATGGCACGGGTCGCTGACTGGTTGCGTGCGAAGGGAGAGGCGATGAACTGCAGGACGATGGTTACCGCCGCGTGCTGGTTGACGCCTGAAGCGAGGCCAAGAGCATACACGGCCGAATTTTGTCCGCTCTCCGACCACTACGGTGTGGTTGCGCGGCTACGTCTGTCGGCCCCAGCAGCGGGCACCACAGCGTCCGAAGGAGATGACACAGCAGGGGAAGTGACGTTGGCAAGGGCAGATGAGGAAGTGCTGCATGAGGCTTTGGAGTTCCTCGATGCGTCAGTGAAGCAGCTGCAGTACGAGAGAACCGTGTGTGTGCGTATGGCCACCGTTTCCGCCGTCTTGGTGGCTGGGAACATCCTCTTCCTTTGGTACCAGGCTTGGCGGCAGGAGCAGCACACAGCGCGGGTGCTGGAGCAGCTATTCACCGTTGCCACACTTGAAGGAACTTCAACGAGGACTGCTGCGCCGCCAGCAAATGAAGTGAAGAATGTCGTGATGCATTGGGCACGCAAGGCGAAGTTTTGGAGCCCAGGAGCAGCACCGCAAGCCGCCGCATCTCCAGCAACACCAGCAGCAGGCGCACCTATGAATGCGCCAGGGGCGGTGCCAGTGAACTTCGCTGAAGTCGCGGCGAAGATTCACGACGGGGGCATTTGGCCCATGATTACACATTTCTTCACCATCTGTGGCAGCCTTCTGAGTGTTGGCTCTCTCGCCATCGGACTCCTCCAGCGTGACGGCAACGCCAAGATCATGGCGGAGCAGGTGAGTGAGTTGAGGCAAGTCTGTTCTCGATAAAGGTGTGGAGGTGCGGACGAGAGGCTACATTTACCCCTTAATATGATCCTTTTTTCCCTTTTTTTTTCATCGCACATCTTCCTTACCATATGTTCTCTTCATTCCCATTGAAGAATTGTGGAAGGGCGATGCCCATATCCCACCGTGTGGGTTTTCTCACCGGCATGTCTCGTTGTCTTCGTATGTGTATGTGTGTGGCTGAGGACGTGCGTGCACTTTTCGTTCCCCCCTTTTCCCCCCTTTTCAGTGCCTGCCGTTGTGTGCACGTCACTCATCGGCGCAGAGTGGCGATGCGGAAGCGGTCGCGGTCGGTGCTGCACGCGTACCTCCTCCCCAGCGCGCGGAGGGGCACACGCGCGGCAAAGCCGGTGTCTCGCGCCACAGCGGCCAACAGGGATGTGGCGATGCGTGCGGCAGTGAACTGCGCGTCTGGGGCCGCGTTCAACGCTGGTGACAAGAGATGTGAGGCTGTAGTTGAGCGTGGGCGAGGCGCAGCTGAGTTTGTGCGTCCCGTCGACTGCAGCTCCTCTACGGAGAACGAAGCGGGAGTGAGAAAGGCGGTGCAGAGCGACGACAAGGAGTACGATGGAGACGGCGACCACTACAGCAGCAGCAGCAGCAGAAGTGACGAGGCGGAGAGTCTTGACGGTCCTTACATTCCAGCGGTGGACAGGCTGGGTGATTTGCCCCCGTCGTGCCGCGCGGTGCAGATGGAGCCGAACTGGCTCGAGCGCGCGGTGATGCTTGCACGCTGTTCAAGTCGGCGCGACGATGCACTTCACGTGCATTTCGGGACCAGGACCACCAACAGTAACAGTCACGGCACTGATTGCGGTGGCCTTGCCTGGCTCAGCGTCTCGCTCCCTGACCCTGCACTTGTGTGTCTCAACGGCGGCACGGAGGAAGAGGGGTGCCGTGCGGCGGCTGTTGCGGGAATCACTGCTGCCTTCTACGCCTCGCGGCTCCGCGAGGGGATGGGCGCTCATCACTACATGCGTGCCAGCTGACGGGTGAATCACACAACCACGACGTGCGTGGGATGTTGTTTTTATTTTTATTTTTTTTCGATTTCATTAGGAGCGAAAGAAATAAATGGCTCGATGGGTAAACAGATGGATTCAGAGAGAGATAGTGAGAGAGAGAGATTGTCTGGGTGTGTGTGTGTGTATGTTTGGGGGTGTGGGGGAAACAACAGAGTAAGGAGCTTTGAGGTATCCTTCTACGGCGGAACGGCTGCCGTGTTGCGGACATCTACAGCAGCGGCGCATTCAACCCCCTCCGCCGCTCCCTTCGCTTCGTGCGGGCCCAACGCTGCGCCGCGCCCTGCACCTCCCTCGTGGTGCTTTTTTTGTGTTTTCTCTTTCTTCATTGGTGCCTCTTCCAGGTGGAGTGCAGACGGGGGGCCTGCTTGGAATGGCTCTCACAGCACCGCACAGCTCGCTCCTGCGCGAGCGCATTGTGGACGTGGACTGGGAGGTGGACGTATTGGTTGCGTCGGGGCAACTCGCGCGTGTCGGTGTCCCCACGGTTCTCCTCACACTTACGCTGAGCAGCGGCATCGTCCTGCGCTACCGCCTCACCGTGGCGGAGCTGCAGCAGTGGCGCTTCACTATGGCAAAGGTCGTGCGGGACCACATCTACTTGGAGAGGGCGCAGCCGCCCACTGGGCCCAGCGTATTCGACAGCAGCGCCGCTTGACATCGTGAGAAAAGCAAAATGAGAAGAGGAGAAGGAAAGAAAAAGAAAAAAAAGACCATGAGCCCGCAGTTACGGGCGCCTCATGGCCTCGTATCGACAGCAGGAGAATTCGTGCGTGCAGAGCTGGGGGTGGAATGGCAGGGTGCCGTTGCATTTCGCAGGTGGCACGGGCGGCGTGACTTCTTGAGGGGGCGGTTCACCTTCTCTGTGGGCATCGGACGCGTGTTGGGCTGCGGGGCGAAGAACGCATTGTGTGGTGTGTTTGCAAGACCAGCGTTGATTGCATTTGCGTAGAGCCCTCCCAGTGGTGCCTTTCAACGCGACACCGTCAAGTTTGCTCTCTCCCTCCCGTATTCTCTCTCTCTCTCTGTGTGTGTGTGTGTGTGTGTGTGTGTGTGTGTGTACTCAGAACGCGCCCGTTGAGGAGTGCGCACCTGCGTTTTTTTTTTTTCTTGGCAGGGATAGATGAAGGGAAATGCAGAGAAGCGTGTTGCACCACGCTATGCTTCTTTCATTCCGCAGAAGTTTCTGGTCGTTGAGGCGTCTGCGTCTGGTGTAAACGCCACACCCGTGCTCAGTGAGCCACCTATGAGGGAAGCGCACACCCAGCTGATGGCCGAGGTGCATGCCATGGAGAATAAGGCGTTGCTCTTGCGGGAGGAACGGAGAAGGCAGCAAAGCATTGGTCACACCACGCTGGGGTTGTGCTTCGGTGGAAACGGCACCCATCTCTCTAGTGAAAAATCCCCCACCTTGCAGGAGGCGCTGCCGTTCCTGCGCGGAGACATCGGAAAGGAGCTTGCGTAGTTGCTGTTGCGCACGTTGTGGTCCCCATTCTCCGTTGCTATAATTGCATTCTTTTCCTCTTCTAATGCTGCCGGTTTCCTACATGGTGGACAGAGTGTGTGGTCGTGAATAGTACGTTCTGCGAGTGTTTGTGTGTGTGTGTGCATATACAGATGGGAGTGCTGGTGCCGCGCCTGTCTCCCCCTCCGTTTGAACTATTCAGACGCTTGTGTACGCCCTGCAACACTACGGGCCCAGTTTTGAGCGGCATCAACGCATCGGAGGTGGTGCCATGCGTGTGGTGTCTCTGATGTTTGGGTTCCCCCATAGCCATGGTTTTTGCTTTTTTCGTTTTTGCACTCACCGGCATCATTGCTGCTTCGCTACGCGTAACTATGGTGGGGCCACTCGTTCACCACATGAGCGGCATCAGTGCACGGCGAGCCGACAGTGTTCCTGCAGTTTGCGTATGAGCGAAGACCCTCTGTGGGCGGCACCCACCTCTCAATCCTCCTCTTACGCCTGCTGTGCGACGTCTACTCATGCCTTATTGAAATTGATGAATTGTTTGTTTGCTTGGTTTTTGTTTTGTTTGTGTGGGCTCTGTGTGGCACTGTCCGTTTTCTTGTGCCGCTTCAGCCGGTCCGTCAGGGTGGTTGTATTTGATGTTGGTGGCCATTCCTCCAGCGTTGCCGGTGGTGCACACGTATGAGGAGCGGCAGGGGCAATACTACGTCCCGGCAAGACGCTTCTGGTCCTGGCGCTGTGCGATGCCGTGAGCCTGG